AGAGAGAGAGAGAGAGAGAGAGAGAGAGAGAGAGCACTCACAGAGTAATAACTGTTACTTTAATAGGTGAAAAGGGTTTTTTTTAACTGAGGATAGCAAACTAATTTTATTTAATTATGTATTTATTTCTTTATGCATACATAAATGTATGAATACAAATTGGGCTGGATTTATGTATATATATATATATATATATGTTTCTTAGATTGGAATGAAGTTTTAATCTGTTCAAATACAGACAGATGCAATATAAGATTGTTTATAATAAAACTATAGAAATGTAGTTTTGGTAACTCTTCCTTCCTTGTAAATTATGCCTCTAACTGTTGATTATATAAGTAATAGAGATATCCGTTATGCCTAATTTGTAAAAAAATGTTTACAGAACATAGTACATTCATCAGGATATGCAAGAAAACACTTGTTTTTTGTTTGATTGATTTTTAATTTTACAGCAGCCTTATACACAGAGATGTCTTAAAACACTATATAGGTAGTCCTCATTTTACAACCACAATTGAGCCCAGAATTTATGTTGCTAAGCGAGAAATTTGTTAAGTGAGTTTTGTCCCATTTTATAACTTTTCTTACCACAGTTTTTAAGTGAATCACTGCAGTTATTAAATTAGTAACACCATTGTTATAAAGTCCAAACTTTTGCGGATGATTTGGTATTGTGCTTGAGGAACCATTAGATTCGGGACCCAAATTAATTTGGAAAATAGAAGAATGTTGAAAAGTGGCAGGGCTTAAAATAAATAAAAAAACAAAGTTTATAACAAAAACTCTTACTAAGAAACAGAACAAAGAACTGGAAGAAAAATTGGAAATGCAAATTGTCAAAAAATTAAATATTTAGAAATATGGCTAACAGCAAAAGTATATCTATTAAAGAAAATAATTATACAAAATTGATAACACTAATTAAGACGGATTTGGATAATTGCAAGAAATTACAACTATCGCTTATAGGACAAATTGCCACAATAAAAATGAACATATTGCCAAAAATTCTGTTTCTGTTCCAAGTGACACCAATAAAGTTAGGAAAGAAATTTATGGAAGATCTAAACAAATTAATATCAAAGTTTATTTGGCTGGGGGCAAAAATGCGATTAAAGTTAAAATTGTTACAGGACAGCAGAAAGAGAGGAGTTTTTGCTCTGCCAGATTGGGAACTATATGAAACAGTAGCAGCCCTTACATGGATCAAAGATTGGGTAATGTTGAAAAATAAAAAAATATTGACAATTGAAGGAGACGACTTACAATTAGGGTGGCACGCATTTTTATGGGATGGGAAAAAAACAAGATGCACAGTTATCTCCAAAGAAACCAAATAAGAAATGCATTAATTTGGGAAAAGATTAAAAGAAATCATGACAAAGTTCTGATCTGGTTATCAACCATGGAAGTATCAATATACCCAAATGTGTTAAATCTTGATAAGATAGTAAGGTATAAGGACATCTTAAATGAGCAAGGGATATTAAAAACTAAACAAGAATTAAAAGAGCAAGGAATTGAGGCAGAATGATGGCTGTATAGGCAAATACAAGCAAGATTTAAGAAAGATACAGAAAGACATGGGATACATAGAGAACTATTGCAATTAGATAAGACTCTACAAGGTTCAGAGGAGAAATTGAAAAATTATTATATTATTATATTTTTTGCAGCATTGCAAGTCCACCACATATGAAAAAATGTATCTGGTGCATCTTTACACTTCCAACAATTTGGAGATATATTTTTAAACATTTTAGAAAGCCTTGCTGGTGGAAGATGCCACCCGTAAAACATCTTATAAAGATTTTCTTTATAAGCCATAGCCAATTTTATTTTCTTACTTGTGGTCCAAAGTTTTTGCCATTTAGCCAATTTAATATTATAACCGACATTTTTTGCCCATGGCACCATTGTTTCTTTAACCTCATCTTCCTCAAATTTGTATTCTAATAAATATCTATACAATATTTTTATTAATTTATCATCTGTCTCTAACAATAGCTTATCCAGAATTGTTAATTCTTTATTAATACCCCATGTTTTTCTGTCTTGTGTGTATCTTGATTGTATTTATAAATACAACCACCATTCTATATTTACCCCTTGTGTTACTAGTTCTAATCTAGTTTTCAGTACTCCTTGTTCATTCAGTATATCTCTATAAGTTACTATTTTCTTCAAATTTATCAAGTTTAGATGTATAAATGCTTCTAGCGTGGAAAGCCAAATAGGTATTTTTATGTAATTTTGATATTTGATTTTGTTCCAAACTGCTAACAGTGCCTGTCTTAAATAGTGTCTCTGGAAATAATTATGTGCTGTATCTTTTCCATGCCAGCCTATTTGAAAATCATGACCTTCTAGTTTTAACAATCTTTTATTCTTCAATGTAATCCATTCTTTTATCCATGTTAGAGTTGCTGCATAATAATATAACTCCCATTCAGGCAAGCCAAATCCTCCTTTTTCTTTAGTGTCTTGCATCACTTTCAATTTAATTCTTGGTTTCTTACCCTGCCATATAAATTTTGATATTACTTGGTTTAGATTTTGAAGAAGCCTTTCTCTAGTTTAATAGGAATATTTTGAATGCTAATGCTACATTTATTAAAGGCAACAAGAATAACTTATGCACAGAATTGAAAAAATGATAGCATGTCACCTGAGGAAAATGTGATAAGAAAAATTCTAGAGTGTGCCGAGATGGATAAGTTGACCATGGAGATAAAGGAAAGAGAGGAAACAGATTATTATTTGACATGGAATGTACTGTATGATTGGCTAAATCAGGGGTCTCCAACCATTTGGACCTCAGGGACCACCAAATTCATAATTTTAAATCCCATGGACCACTAATATGAATCCAGCATGCCACTCGCTGAAGTGCCTGGACTCCCACTGACGGGATGGGGTCCTTCAGGCATTTAGTTTGTCTGCCTGTTTCTGCAACTTAAATACTCAGTCATTTGGACCTGTTTCCCACAGAAAACAAAACACCGGGATCTCTCATCTCTCTCTCTCCCTCCCCTCTCTCTCTTTCTCCCTCCCTTCCCCTCTCTCTTCCCCCCCCCCATCCCCGGGGCTGGAGGGAAAGGAACCTCTGAACTGTTGCTGGGTGATGGGAATCTGATGTCTGGAGGCTGACGAGCTACATGCTGAAGACCAGATGGCTGTTTTTAAACAATCTTATCTTATTGCTTTATATATTCATCTAATTCAATTTAATTTGTTTTATTTTCTAACCATTGATAAAATAAATCCCATACCATATAATATTCCGTTTCTTCTTTATTTTTAATTAATCATTCAAATTGTTTCTGAATCTATCAGGCTTTGTGTGATATAGTTCATTCCTCAAACCATACAGAAAGATTACCATATACCTGTGAGAACGTTGTGTAACTTTGTAAAGTCTCTAAAAGGTTTCACAAGGATTTGAATAAACACTGAGCTACACTGAGGTAAAGCTTTTTTATTTTGTCTATTAAAAGACAAATTTAATTTTCTCTATGTCATGCTGTCATCGTTATTGCTGTTGCTGGAGGAAATAATATTGAATGAAACATAACTTAGTTTAAAAAAACTAACCAAAAATTGGCATTTTGACCAAAGCTAAAAGCCATCCACTCATCTTGTATGTCTCTAGGTATTAAAGTGATCAAAATGTTATACATACTAGTTGGAGCTTATAAATCAGCTTTGTAGAGAACTGGAATTGTTATACACATATGGGTTACATTAGTTAATGGGGTTCTTGGCTGAAAAGAACATACCAAATACAAGTGAAAAAAAAATCAGTTTCCAGAATAGAGGAATGACAGAAATGATTCAAAGGGAAGGAGGATTTTGGCATTGAACATTCTTTAGCTTCTTTGATTAATTGTATCTGGCTTCTAGACTGATGGGTTTCCTGTAACTGGTTTCATAGAATTATCACTCTATGTTGTCATGGCCAGATAGCAGAGCAGCATTATTATAATATTGTTATTATGCATAGGTTACTGAGAAGAACTATGTTATTATATGTAGCATTCTAGAAAAGGACTAAACACTTTTGCATTTCTGACTGGCTTACTAAAATATATATGATATACTTCAGGAGAGATGTGTGGGTGATAATGTAACTTGGTTCTAAAGCTTGATTAATTTCAGTAATTTCTAAAACCCTCACAGGAATAACTATATTTAGAATGCCAGATGGCAATCTAGGCCAACAGAAATATAGAACATTTCTTTTTATTGATAATATTATTTAATATCAGGGTTTTCAGTAGCAAATTAAGGTAGACCTCCTTTCTTTGTGCTTTGGGAAGATGGTCTCTTGTTTTTGCGATTTTCCAGTGAGGAGAATTATCTTAGCAGAAGTAGGTAAAAGTATAAACACTTCCAGGCCTGGTGCCTCCTCTCCAATTCTATATATTTGGGCAGTGCTCACTTAGAGACTTATAAGACCCGCTATACGTAATACACTGTACAAGTTGTCCTTAACTTACAACCAAAATTGAGTCCAAAATTTCTGTTGCTAAGGGAGATAGATGTTAAGTGAGTTTGGCCCCTTTTACAACCTCTCTTGCCACAGTTCTTAAGTGAATCACTGCAGTTTCTATCTTTTCCATTGACTTTGCTTGTCAGAAGGTTGCAAAAGGTGATCACGTGACCCGAGGACACTACAACTACTGTGAATATGGGTCAGCTGCCAACTGTCTGAAATTTAGTCACATGATCATGGGGATGCTGCAATAGTGTGAAAAATTTATTTTTATTTATTTTATTTAGTTTAGTTTGTCAAGCATATATGAGAAAACAAGTGTAAGTATGAATATAACATATCAACATAAGTATAAATAGG